CTGTTGAAGTAGTCCCTTCTTGCTGGTTAGAAATAGAAAGTTTTATTAGGATTGGGTAGGGTCAAAGTGGGTGCCTCAAGGAGGGCCCATGTGGGGGCCCAAAAGGAAATGGGAATGAAATCTGTTTCTGGCACTACTTGGGGATTTCCCTGGGAAGCTTTTTAGAGGAGTTTTGTAATGAGTGAAAAATTTGGGATCCAAAGGCTAAAATAGTGAAGAAACCCCAGAAAGGAAAGGAGAACTTATTTTTGGTGGAGACAGGAAGATTGCTAATAGTCTTTTTCCAATGGGAGTATGCAGTGAGTGATAGGAGATGAAGGCCAACGTGACCTCTTGTATCAGCTGAACTTTGTGTTCTGAGACTTGGTATCCTTTTTTCCCCAAGTATTTAAGGAGATAGTGGAGTATGGTCATTTTTTTTGAAGGGCTGCAAAGCAAAAGGTCATCGACATATTATAGCAAGTTGCTGGAAGTGAGGTGGAGGACCTTTTGAAATACTTGGCCAAAGAAGTGTAAGATATACCAAAATTCCTGGAGAACAGTCCCTGTGAGCTATTGGGTGAACAGAGATATGAGGTCTGTCCAGGTAAAGGCAAAAGCTGTCAGGGCTGAGGGGAATAGTGAAGAAGGTGTCGTTGAGGTCTTGAGTATGGAGTACTGGTGGGGTCTTGAGTATTGAGTACTGAGTGTAGGGGTTGAAGTGCACTAAGTGGGAGCCACGAGTTTTTTAATCTTTTAAATACCTTGGACTATAAGAAGGAGACATCAGGGTTGTTGTTGTTGTTGTTGTTTTGCTTTTACGGGGAAGGATGGAGTGGTGGGAGGAGTGGTTAGGGGTAGAGCCAGGTGTGGTGGTGTATGCCTGTAATCACAGCACTTGGGAGGCTGAAGCAGGAGTTAAAGGCCAGCCTCAGGTACAAAGTGAGATTAAGGCCAGCCAGAACTAGTGAATCCCTGTCTCAAAAGACAAAAAAAAAAAAAAAAAAAAAAAAAAAAAAAAAAAGGCGGCACTTGATAAAGATGGCCATCAGAGATAAGGGAGTATTGGTTGACTATGACAGCTTGAGCAGGGTCCCTTGGTGCTATTTTGAGGGGTTGGTGGCATTAGACTATGAAAGTGTAGGGACAGAGGGACAAATAAAAACTCAGGACAAAATAAGGATAACTAACACTGTAAAATCATCACATGCTTATCTGTGACACAATTGGAAGATCATATGCTGTGTACCTTGTGCTTGAAAAATGTACCTTACTCCAGCCTTATTAAAGTGTTACATTAATTATGTTGACCTTGTCCCTTTCTCAGAAACAAAGGCTGAGCTCTCATTGGCCTAGATCACAAATGAATGAGTTATTTTTAGAAACTGGCTTAGCCCTATGTCATGGTTTATGTCTACGGCCCCCAGGCCTCATAAATTTACATTATGCATCTGTGATTGTTTCATTGTCTAGAGCTTGGGTTGATGGTGTCAGTGTTACACCCACATAGTGGGGGAGCCAGGCTGTAAAGTAATAGCAGGAAGAAGGCGTGTCTTGCTCTTTTGCCAGTTTCTGCCTTGCTGTTTATAGTCACTATGAACTGCGGCCCTGCCATGCCAGCCTGCCTTGGAGCCAACTGAGTATGGACTGAAACCTCCAAAAACTATAAATAAACCTTTCCTTTCCTGACTTTGGGCTTCAGGTAGTTTGTTTCAGCAATGAGTAAAAAGTAATTAAGACAGAATTTGGTACCAACGAGCGGGGTCATTTGCTGTGACTCTACCTGACCATGTTTTTCCGAGACGTTTTGGAAATGGCTTGTGGGCAGTTTGGAAAGGTTCAGACATGTCTCCTGGATGCATAGAGCTGGAGCAGCTTAGGCTGTTCTGTAAAGGAGATTCTGGTCAGAGTTCAGGAGACCAGAAGGCTGATAGAAAGCCTCATGGTAAAGCCCAGGCTTGGGAGGTTTCTGCTGGGAAGAAGTACTTCATTGGTTGTTGGACTCCCCATGATGTGTGTTACGGCTTGGTAGAAAGTTTGTCTGCAATTTGCTCATGCCCAGAGACTATCTGAGATAGAGAATAAGGGCAATAGACTGATTAATCTTGAAAAGGAAATTTCAAGGCAATCCAATGTGGAAGCTGTGGCATGGCTATTATTGGGGGCTTTTAGCCAGCTTTATGTTGCAAATCAAGACCAAAGAGCTCAGCAGGAAAATTTTCAATACTGTGAGTTTGGCCAGAAGGAAAATTCCAGGAAGGCTGTGGATTGTAAAAACAGAGTTGAGATTCTGATTGCTGAGGAGAGACAGAAAGATAAAGAATTTGCTCAGAGGAGAAAACTGCAGAGCACCATGCTCCAGAATGGCGATGAAGGTCTTATGAGGTTCCAGAATGGCGACAACATAGAGAAGCTTTTCCTCACAATCAGGTAAACAGAGCCCAATGGTCCAGGCAATCGAACCCTACAGTCAAGAGAGAGAAAAGCCCGGCTACTGCTCCAGCTAGCAGGAAACCTTGATGGCATCCACATGGTGCTGATTTTAGGTGCAAGGAAAATGCACAAATTCTGAAGGTAAGACAGCTTCCACCTTGATTGCAAAGGGCCTGGGAGGCCAAGCAGTGTGCCCCTGAGAGGGCAATTTGTGAAGATGTAAGGATGAAGCCAAAGATGCAGTGGAAACCCCAGAAGTTTGGAAAAGCCAGAAATGTTGGTGATCCAAGGAAAGCTGCAAAAAGCAAGCAGAGAGGATTTAAGAGAAAAGCTGTAGGAGCTGAAATCGCTGGAAGTGCCCTGGGGGTGGAATTACCCAAGCCTTTTGGAGCTTGTAACCAGATTGCTTCAGATGATGAGCATGGAACTCTAAGACTTAATGGTCATTCTGCTGGATGTTGGACTTGCTTTGTTTCCAATATTTTATATTCCCCTGTTTGTAACTTTTGGAATGGTAATGTTTATTATCTTGTGCCTTTGCATTTCAGAAATGTGTAACCTTGTTTCATTTGTACAGGGGGTTACAGTTAAGATTTGCCATAGATCTTGGAGGAGACTTGGCACTTGGACTTTTCAGCAATGCTGAAAATGTTAGGGCTTTGGCAACCCTTGGAGGTGGACTAAGTGTCTTTTGTATAAAGGATGTACATGAGTCCTGGGGGCCAGGGGTGGAATGTCATGGTTTATGTCTGTGGACCCCAGGCCTCAGAGTTTACATTATGCATCTGTGATTGGTTCACTGTCTAGTGCTTGGGTTGATGGTGTCAGTGCTACACCCACATAGGGTGGAGCCAGGATGTAATGTAGTGCCAAAAAGAAGGCATGTCTTACTCTTTTGCCAGTTTCTGCCTTGCTGTTTGCAGCCTCCATGGACTCTAACCCTGCCATGCCAGCCTGCCCTGGAGCCAACTGAGTATGGACTGAAACCTCCAAAAACTGTAAACAATAAACCTTTCCTTTCCCAACTTTGGGCTTCAGGTATTTTGTCTCAGCAACTAGTAAAAAGTAACTAAGATACCCTATAAGTATGAAGTAGATCTTACACTCATCAAGCCATCTCAAGTGAATGTCCCCTATCTTGCAGCACCACTCTGCTGCTAAAATAGCTCTCCTTCTGCTTTCTCATTTGCCATACTTTAAACAAACTTGCTTCCTACTATCCCAGTCTTGATTCCCTCATTTCTGGCTAAGAGTCCCACCACCAGTGTTCACTGCACTGAGGGCAAAGAAAGGCAGAGAGTCACTCAAGAGACCCTGCCATGGACATATCTGGTATGTTAGCTAAGAAATTAAAGAATAGACCACTGAAGAGTCCTAAACATGGTGAGTATACCCAGCCTAAAGGAGAGTGAACCTGGGAGAACCATCTTTTGGCTGGGTCCTCACTCTGATTGATAAGGAGGATCCTTACCCAGCAGGATCAAGTGTAGTCTCTGATTGTCAAGGAGACTTGGGCTTTACCCTGATATGGCTTAGTGGCAGATTCACGTAAGTGCTAGAACACTTATGCTCAGAGGGGATCCTTCAGCCCCAGTTAAGAGCCATGGCTATGGGGAGTGGGCATCAGGAGTCCTGACGCATCTTCACACCTTTTCTTTGCCCAGAAACCTTGAGCTATGGATATTTTTGGACTGTTGCTTCTTTGCATCTCATGAAAGAAAACTGCAGATAATTTCTAAATTAGAACACCTGCTTCAAGGTTGTCACTTTTACAAAGACAATAAAGGCAACAACTTAAATCACAGAAACCCCACAGATTTCTGGTGACAACTCAGAAATTATATTGATTCATTTTCACCATCATAAAAAACCACCAATAAGAAATACAAAACCCTGGTATGATGAACTGGTTTCTGTTCCCCTTCACTATATGAAGGTAGAGAAATTTAAATGACCCCAGAGAACCCCTTTACTCTTCCTTCTCTTCTTGCTTTACTGTTGATACTACACAGCCTTGGATTTTCTATGTTTACTATTGCCTTTCCAAGACAGAAAATCTTAATTCTCCAGCAATTAACCATTCTGTCCCTCCTTAAGCCTACTAAAGAGAGAATTTGAAAAAAAAATTACACTTGAGAAAGAGACATCTGCACTATTTTAAAGAGCATAGGTAACCCAGACCCTCTGGGAACTGGCACCAGGAATAAGAATTCATTGCCACGGTCTCTGGGGGTTGAGGACACCCTATCCAGAGTTGTTCTGAAGTGTCCTGTTTGCAGACACCTGCCACAGTGCTGTCTCCTTTGGCTCAGTAGCAGGTATTAGATGAGACTTCCATTCATCCTTAGTCTGTGTTATCTCCCTAAATATTGTGGTTGCCAAGTTCTCAGCTCTGTTTCCCATGGCTCAGTAGGAGGCATCAGATGAGACCTCCATTCATCACAACTCTCCTTTTCCCCAGCATACCTCAATAAAAAAATTTCTTTTCCACCACAGGCTGAAGACTGCAGGGACCAAATCATCAGTCACTCCTTTAGCTCTCCTAGAGAAGCTCTCCTTAAACACTGGGAAATATTAGGTTGCCAGTCTTTTAAGAAAAAAGTTGTCATTTTTATTATACTGAGGCTTGGATACATTGTCCTTTGGGGGACTAGGTACAGGGGTTCTCAGATGGCCATGACACAGAATGACTAAAACTAATAATAATGTGCTTATGTATAACAAATTAACCAAGAGAAAGGGGTCTGGTTACTTTTACAAGACATCATGTTTCAAGTGATACACAGGGCAGTTATTGTGACTTATCTGTATAGCATAGATATACATTTAAACTTCACACTGTACCCTATAATTAAAATGACATATTAATTAAAATGTAGAACACACACACAATTCAACTTGTCCTTATAGCAGAAAATTTCAAAGCCACTCGAATAACTAAAACTATTTCGGTGTGACATGAAATGGGAAGGACAGGTCAAGGAACACAGCACAGGCAATGAAGGAAACAGCTACAACGCATGTGTAGATCTGTGAGGAACTACACATCAATGACACATTTGAGATAATTAACATACGAAAACAATTGTTCTTTAATTCAGAGTCATGTATACAGTCATAGAACGGGCATTATCTGTGTATGCATAGAATTAATATCAATTACCTTGGATTTTTCATTCTCTTACATGAAGCAAAGAGTTCATCCTAATATGAACACTTTTCTAATAATTATGGAGTTTCTGTTATATACTTAGAACTGTTCTGTGAGCTTATGTCCTAGAATTTAAAAGAATTTTAAAACAACTTCATGATTCATGAAGTCTCAGAAATTTTCATTTAAACTGGCTCCAGGCATACTTTAAATTTTCTGTTATGGTCTGAGTCTGGATGTCCACCCAAAGCCTCATATTGAGGTAGGCTCCTAGAGACTGTGAATGACTCACAGTCCATTATGGGGATTAGGATTATGCTACACCCAACTGGGTGTGGCCTCCATACAATATAAGGGAAAGTCTTCTCTCCATGCTTCTTCCCTTTTGCTCCTGTTGCTTGTGCTGTTTTCCACCATCATGGACTATTGCCCTTTGCCATGTACCACTCTGCCTTGGAACCAGCTGATCATGGACTGAAACCTCCACAAACTGTGAGCTAAATAAATCCTTCCTTCCTTCCTTCATTTTGGGTGTCAGATGTTTTGTCTCAGCAATTAGAGAAAAGTAACCAAGACACTTTCTAAGGTCATTAATCAAATAGAAGAACATTAAGTTAAAATGACTCGAAAGGATTACTTAGAAGGAAACAATGGAACTGCATAATTAAAGAAAATGCTTCAGTATAATTACCATGAACTATTTTTACAAATTAACTTTGGAAGCAAAAGTATCAAAAAAAAAAAAAAACCTCTAAATACTCTGAAGATTATTTAATGAACTCTGACTAATTAGGTTCTCCATGAATAACAAGCCAAAAAGGTGGGAAGGCAGATAAAGCAGGAAAGGACTCTCAAGGGGATAAAATTATATTTTTTTCATAAATAAGTCTTTTAAAATTATCTTTAGTTAATCCCCTTTCTGCTGGGCATACTGGACATGCCTGTAATCCCAATATTTCAGAGACTGAGGTAGAAGGACTATTATAAATTCAAGGGCACACAAGGCTACATAATTCAAGGCCAGCCTAAACTACATAGTGACACCACCTCAAAAGAATTCTCTTTATTCTCCATAGGTGATATACAAAAACTTACACAAATACAGTGATTCTATATTTTCCTATGCCTGAATCTTATAAAATAGTAATACAGGGCTGGGGATTTAGCTCATTGGCCTCAGTACTTGCCTGGCATGTGTACCAAACAAACATATATATATATATATAGTAATACATACAATGTCAGATAACATAATATCAAACTTGTGTGTCCTTTATAGTCCCAAAGGGGTGAACTGTGGAAAAAAAAATTTTCAGTAGGTTAAAAATGTATAAACATGAATCAAGAAAGCAAAGGCTTTATTATTTCTATGCCCACTATATTTCCAATTACAAAAAGAATGAAAGAGTAAAATTGATTTATGGAAATAATGGTTTCAAAAGTATGTGAAGTTAAATGACTCTAGGACAAAGATTATGAGACATATCACTATACTGTTAACCCAGCAGTATAATTATTACCACCAGATATCTACAACCTTGAGTAAGGGAAGAATTTAATGTTCATGGTAGACTAACAGGCCATCCCATACTCAAAACTAGTAATACATTAGGAAACACTCATTTTTCTTCAGGAAAAAAATAAAGATTTCATAGGCTCAAACAATAATTCAAAATTCACTGAAATTTCTGCAGTAAATAGACATTTAATTAACTATTAAGAAGATTTGTTCTTTCAGTAAACTGAGTATAAGTTGTTCTTTATCTGGTTTACAAAAATGGAGCTAAAAACAGACATTTATATGAGCTTCAAGTTTTGATTAAAGATTCTGCCATAATCTTTGTATTTATAGTCTTTTTCCCATGCAAATTCTCCAGTGTCAGTAAAGGCTGAAATTTGACCAAGGCTGTGCCACATTTATTACATGTCTGTTTCTCTCTAAAACATATTCTTTGCTCAAGTTCTGCCACAACCATTCATTTGTGTTTCAATCATGTTGAGTTTTTTGGTGTCTAGTAAGACTAGAACTTAGATTAAAGGCTTTGCCACATCTGGTACATTTGTAGGGTTTCTCTCCAGTATGAATTCTCTCATGCTGCATAAGTGTGGAACTTCGAGTAAAGGCTTTGCCACATTCTTTACATTTGTGGGGTTTCTCTCCAGTGTGAATTTTCTCATGTTGAGTTAAGTTTGAGGAACTATGGAAAGTTTTGCTACATTCTTTACATTTGTAGGGTTTCTCTCCACTATGAATTACATGGTGTTTTTTAAGGGTTGAAGTTTGGTTAAAGGCTTTGCCACATTCTTTACATTTGTAGGGCTTCTCTCCAGTATGAATTCTTTGGTGTTGATTAAGGGCCGAGTTTTGATAAAAGACTCTGCCACAATCTTTACATTTGTAGGGTTTCTCTCCAGTATGAATTTTTTGGTGTTGATTAAGTGCTGAGTTTCGATAAAAGACTTTGCCACACTCCTTACATTGGAAAGGTTTCTCTCCAGTATGAATTCTCTGGTGCTTCGTAAGATTTGACCTTTGATTAAAAGCTTTGCCACATTCTTTACATTGGAAGGGTTTCTCTCCAGTATGAATTCTTTGGTGTTGATTAATAGTTGAGCAGTATTTAAAGGCTTTTCCACACTGTTCACATTTGTAAGGTTTCTCTCCACTATGAATTCTCTGGTGTCGAATCAGAGTTGAGCAATATTTAAAGACTCTGTCACAATCTTTACATGTGTAGAGTTTCTTAAGGGTTGAGCTTTGATAAAAGGTTTTGTCACTTTCTTTAAACTTGAGTTTCTCTCCAGTATCAATTCTCTGGTGTTTATGAAAGCCAGAATCATTAGCAAATGCTTTACCATGTTCTACACACTTACTAAGCTTGTGTTGAATATGGGTACTTTGATGGACAGTAAGTTTTGAGCACTGATCAAAGACTTTGCAACACTTATCACATTTGTAAGTACTTGTTTGAAAATGCATACACTGATGCTTACTAGGATTTGAATAATGGCTTATGTTTTTATAAATTTCACCACACTGGTAAAATTTCTGTCCAATATAAATATCCTGGTAATTATTTAAGGTAGCTCCCTCACAAAAGGCCTTCCCATGTTCATTATGTATGTCATGGGTTTCCATGAGATCTATATAAGAGTTTTGCTTACACATTAATGGATGTGTAAACACCTTGTACTTATCCAAACTGTATATTTTTGCACACAGTACACATACTTGTTGATTGTAGAATGAACTTTTCTTAAAGCATATGTCAAGTTGACAATATTTAGAACTTTGTTTATCCATTTTCAATCTCGTGTCTACAGAAATGTTTGCATGAAAATTTAATCCAAAACTATCTTTGAAATTGTTCAAATAGTTAACTGAATCACTGACTAGATCCATTTTTGCGTTTTCCAAGTTTTCTATGAAAGAAAGATTAATAATTGGATGTGAATGCTTACTTATACAAACATGTTGCCCATTCAAAGTAAGTGGCAAATATTTAAATATTTTCTGAGTTGTTATGTGTTCTTTATCACTTTTGGCAGTGATATTTTTATTATCTTTAGTTGTCACATATTGGTTATATCCATTAAAACGTGGGTTCTCCCCTTCATACTCACCAACAATTTCCCAGTCTTTTCTCAAGTATAATTTTTTAATGCCACAATCTCCATATTTTTGATGCATCACTTTTTGAAATGAATGTTTTATGCCTTGCTCTGCTGAAAATCCTTGGGCATAAGACATAGCTAAAAAAATTAAGACAACATGACATCCCACTTACTAGACTTGGGTCAATATATCTTATAGATATAATAAAATTACAACACATTCAGTATGTTAGTGGGATAACAGAATACTAGACACAAGGTCCTCACTTCCCCACAGATATAAAAACTGAGCAACAAAATGTTGATCGGATTACCTTTGTGAGAACTCTCAAAAACAATTAAAAGTTCATAGCACTACAGTTCAGCACGACTTTGAGGGTCACATACTTTTAGAAATGAAATTAACTAGTGAAAGTTAATCTTGCCAACCAAAATCTTCCTTCTCCTTATATAGCACTGGGTAGTTATGAGAAAACTTCCAACACTTTAATTCTCCATTAGGAAACATAGAGAATGTAACATACAGACACATTTCTGGCTTTCATAGGAGTTGTATTAAAACTGATTTCTATCCACCTTTAACCAGAGGGTGAGTGATCACAGGTATATTTTGCATGATAATTTGGGTCATATTGGACTAAATATAATATTAAGACTATTAAAACAAGGGCAGCAACATTGTCAACAAGTATAGAAAAGAATATAGTATTTTAAAAAATATACATTCCTTATTATCATATTACAGACATCTCTTAAATGTTTTATTATCTAAAATTTTGTTACCATTGACTGACATCATCCCAATTCCTTTAGCAAAAATGATAGGCCCTGATTAATTTATTTCACTGTATATGAAACAAACTTAGACTTCACATACAATTGAGATTATGTAGTAACTGACTGCCTTGGACACAGTTCATTATTATAATTTTTTTTTTTTTTTTTTGTCTTTTTGAGACAGGGTCTCTCTATGCAGTTCAGGCTGGCCTTGAGCTCACTTTGTAGCCTAGGCTGGTTTCAAACTCGCAATAATCCTCCTGCCTCAGCCTCCCAAGTGCTGGGATTACAGGCATGAGCCACCATGCCTGGCTATAAATTCTTATAAGTTTGCTTTTACTGCACCAAATAAGAAATTTATTTCTATTGCTGAATTATAATTCATGGTATATGAATAAATATGCTTTTATTTATTCATTCATTGAAAAGAACTTTCATTCCATATCATGCTTATTATGAATTTATGGTGCGCTGAACTTTGCATGATAGATATATCTTCAACAAAGTGACTTACTTTCCTTTAGCTACAGATCTTGTATTGTTGTGACATATGGTTGTTATCCTCTTTGTTGTTTCTGAGGTCAGACCCATCGACTTTTGCTTGTTAAGCAAATGTTCTACAATTGAACTATATTCCCAGTCATTTTTATAATAATTTTGAGCAATTTTCATATTGTTTTTCATGATGACTATATTAATATATGTAGGCTGATTCAGTACACAAATCACAACAAAAGCTAACCCACTATAACAAAGTGCAAGAGAAAACACTGGCCACTCAAAGAAAAACATAAGACAATAGAAATTGGCACAGAGGAAAAAAAGACACTTACGACTTATCCAAAGAATTCAAAACAATCATTTAAAAGATAATTAGCTGTGGGGCTGGGGATTTAGCTCAGCGACATAAGCACCTGCCTTGCAAGCAGGCGGTCGTGAGTTCGATCCTTGGTACCGATAAAAATGAAAAAGACAAAAAAAAAAAAAAAAAAAAAGATTATTAGCTGAACAAGAACACAGTAAACTAAAGAAAATCAGGAAACTGATAACAGATAAAAATTTAAATTAAAAACAAAGAGAAACAGTATAGTTGAGAATTCAAAACATAACAATGCCAAAGACATTCTTTGCTATGAGGAAGGAAAAAACATCTAAATTCAAGTAGCTCAATCATCACCAACAAGAATGAACATAAGGAACACACTAAAATTAAACTTTCAAAAGTCACAGTCAGATAATCAGAGCAACAGAAAAATGATGTGTTGCATGTAAACTTGCTAATGTTTGTTTACCAAATGATTTCTTTGTAGTCTTTGAAATCAAGAGAAATCAGAGAATATAAACAAAATGCTGATAAAAACAAAAGCTACCAAAAATATTGCATCAAGAAAAACAGCCCTATAAAAACAAAAGCAAATACAAGATAGACAAATGCTTAGAATGATTAACATCATTAGAAATAACATAGAAATGCTAAAGGGAGACCTCTGGAAAATTAAATAATGATACATAGTATCACAAATCATGAAATTTTAAATCTCTCAGAAGAATAAATATACACATATAGAATTCAGTAGCACTAAAATGAAGGTGAAAAAATATTTTCAAGTTTGCTATGTAATTGCAAAGGTAAAAGTACACAAAACACAATTTTAATATGTGTAAAGTGTAATGATAGCTGATTTCAATAATAAGCTGAAAAGAGATATACACATGGTATTTTTATACAGACTTTGAGTTCATTTGCTATGAGTTTAAAATGTTTTATAAGTTAAAATGCCTTTATATAATCCCAGTGAAATTAAATACCTACATAAGATGAAAAGAACAGGAAAATAATACTAATGAAATTAAATACCTACATAAAATGAAAAGAATAATAATGTGATTATAAGAAACAAAGAACCATAGCTAAAGCAATTAAAGGAAAACAACAATTTCTTTCTTTTTTTTTTTTTTTTGGTCTTTTTCCTTTTTTATCGGTACCGGGGATCGAACTCATGACTGCCTGCTTACAAGGCAGGCGCTCATGCCGCTGAGCTAAATCTCCAGCCCCAAGGAAAACAATTTCAAGAAATACAAAGATAATATAAAAACAGTATTAATTTCTTTGTTTTCAATAATTTGTTTACAAATAAATGAATTAAACATCACAATAAAAGTAATATATTCACTATTAGGTGTAAACTTTAAAAGTCCAAATATACTATGTCTAAAGAAGATCCTTTTTTTAAAAAAGATACTTTTTAGATGTGAGGATATAGAAAGTGAAAGAGTAACTATGATATTTTATACGCTATCCAAAAGAGAAGTGTCAAAAGTGATATTGAATAAAATATACTTTAAAATAAAACTATCTATGCTGAACCACAATTTAACTCTAAACATCAGAAGAAGCAAAGGCTGCTATATAAGATGCAACTGTCAGCACATGCCTATAATCTCAGCACTTGGGAAGCTAAGGCAGAAAGATTGCCAAGAGTTTGAGCCTAGCCTTGGCTAATAGGGAGTCCAGGTCAGCCTGAACTACATAGCCGGACCCAGTCTCAACAACAAAACAGATCAAATTGTCACTATTTTTGATATACAGGGTAAAACTAAAAAATTTAAAAAAAAAAAAAACTAACAAGGGAAATTAATCTAAAAATTGGAATACAGAAAATGAAATTATAAAAAAGAAAAACAAAATTTACCCCTTAAAACTCTCAAAAAAAACCTTAAAAATTATCCTAGGCAATGGAAATATCTTGATGTGATTATATATACTATGGTGAATAGCTATTTTGTTACAGTGACATTAAGTTTATGGCATAAAAATTTCATATTATAGCCATTCTAATTATTCATGAAGTACTCTTTTGACACGACTTTAATGAATATATGTCAACTGTATTAAAGAATCTTCTTTACGTCATTAATACACTGCAGTTGACTAGCATGGAGGTCTTAAAATTTGGGCAGTGTTTCTAAGGGGCCCACAAGCAGTGAGAAGTCATAAATGAAAGGGAAGCCTTTGGCTATCACCTCAGTGTCCCAGGAAGTCACTGAAGGCAAAGGAGAACCCTTAGAGGCTTTAATGAACACAAAGCAAGAAACGTCCTTTTACAGTATAAGGGATAAACTTCAGCCTCTGAACTATCATTTCTATTAAAACAGAGCTTCTTGATCTATAGCTTAAAATCTGAATTTCTCCCTAGGAAATGCTCTTATGTATTCTTTGATTAATTCTTACAAACCTGAATGCATAGCTGCTGCCTTCTGACATTTCACAATCCAGGGTTTTTTGCTTTGTTCCAGAAGGGTAATCAGGTATGGCTTAGAGACAGCTAGACCTGTTAATTGAAAACAGAATATGACACTTGCTTTATATTCTCCCAATAACTGACATTTCTTTCCCAGTACTATAGTTAAAAGAGAAGAAATCATTAAGATCCTCAAAAATTATTTCTTCTAATGTTTCCAAACAGACATTAGACAACATAGAAAGCATTTGTACATACTATGCTTCAGTTTCAACCACTACTATACAACACTGTAAGGCAGATTTGGGCTTTAAATTAGAGACAACAATATTTTCTGCCACAGAATTTCTACAATTATCACACTCTACCTAAAGGATGGATACAGGACATGAAAGAATACATGACATGCAAAATTTTGTATCTATACCAAGAGATCACCACGAGTTTTTTTCTTTGAAAGCAGGAACCTGAAACTCATTCATGCAAAGCTCCCAGGAGGCATTCTTTTAAAAAACAAAGTGAGAATTAAATATTGATTGTGAATTAGGAATTCTACAGGAAGTTAGGCTCACCCAGGAAGACCAAGTTTCTGTAATTCTCTAACATCACATCCCTATACAAATTCCGCTGAGCCGAATCCAGACATTCCCACTCCTCTAGAGAGAGATCAACAGTCACGTCCTTGAATGTCAACAGTTCCTGAAATATTAAAAAAAAAATCACATTTATTCTATGGTCATCAGCAGAGCTTTCTATTTTATCTAATATTAAACAAGAGTGAGGATTGCTATAGACATAGGTAAAATACTTAATTATTTGAATAGAAAATGTACTGTCTAATTTGTAGCTAATATATACAAAACCAGTGTAGGTACTATATTTTGACATAACATATACAAAACCATTGTAGGTACTACACTTTGATTAAATTTAAAATGCAAGGAAGTACATTTTGAGTTTTATATTTATATTTTATACAAGTTCAAGATTTTTCTCAGGTAAGAAAGTCTTCATGTTAGGTGAATACTTCTCAAATTTTAATATTAAACCATATATTGGAGATCTCATTTAAATGTACATTTCAATTCAGTTGTCTAGGAAATGCTATGGGTGTCAATATGTAGCAAGCTCACTTGTGATGCAAAGGTCAGTGGTTCAAAGAGAACACATTTTGGACAACTGAAAGGTAGAACATCATTGAAGAATTCATCGATTAATCTGACTGAAATGATTGTACCATATTAACATTTTAATATATTAGCAAGAACACTAGCCCCAGAACCCCCCCCACACACACACACCCTTTTTTTTGGTGCAAGCTATTTAGAAAATCCCACGAAGATACTTAATGATAGGGAAACAATTAAGTTTGTAAGAAAATGTGATAAGCAGGATTTTTACTAAGTAAATCTAGTTAAATATTCTGTAAAGAGATAAAGTTGTGCCAGGTTTGAATACACAGAGATAGAACATCAGCAAAGTCATATCAGTGACCACGAAAAACACTAAATAGATAACATGAGACAGAATCTTAACCTATTCCTGACAGAAATATCAATCTTGCATTAATTCCAATGTATGTGTGTGTACTATGGTCTATAGCCTCACATAGTATACATACAGTCTTTGCAAAGCATGATAGAGATTAACATTTTTTGTTCTCCTTTTTTCAAAACTTCTTTACCAATTTTTTTTCAAATGTGAGAAAATTTTAGAAACATTATTTGGAAACAAAAATAAAATGAACATTTTCCAACAAATTAAGTGTGTAATGCAGACTGAGCATACGCTGGTGGTTCACAGGAAATACATTGTGCCAGATGGTATGTGAAAGTGTTTTCAGCAGGATAAAAGAGAGCATATAAAGTAAAAACAGCCTTTATTCCAAGGACGTAGAGAGAACTCCATGACCGCTGGGGCCTGGCTTTCTCTGCCAGAAACGCAGGGCATGGGATATGCATATAATTTTCTACAGGGGTGGCGCTTAGGGGCTTAGGGCGTGCATTGCTGATGCGCGAGCAGCTGACTGGAATTTTCTTTGCGTGCAAACAGAAGCTGGGGAAGAAGCAGGAAGTGGTAGGCATTCCCACTTTGGCCTTCCGCTTTGTTAGACCACCACCATAATTTCTACGAGGCAAGAACCTTTCAGTGTGAGTTGTTGGATAGCAGGAAGTGCAACCTACTGAGCACTCTGCCAGATGGAAACTAAAGCTGAAGCACACTACACATTGTAAAAACTTCAGTGTGATACTGTACTGGGGCAGAGACCAGCTGAATGTGGTTTTGTAGTATCCTGTGCCCAGGATGCTTCAACTGGAACTAGTAGAAAGCTTGATACAACCACCTTTAACCCAAATATAGACCCATGGACACTGAAAACTGCCCCACTCCAAGGCATTTAGAGTACGTGGATTACTGGTCATTTATGACTCTGAGTGTCCTGGCTAGAGAACTGTGGTACCTGACAGCCAAAATCTGGATCTATCCCATGATAGGCAAGAGAGCATCTTCAAACCGGCTCCAAATTACCTGTCCTCCTCGCATTCCTATAGGCTAAAACACCCTGAGATATTGGGTATAAGTCAAGCCCCACCACTGTCACCTTCACCTTAGCCCTTGAAGTGATTCTGCCTACTTAAACATAAGCTAAGAAGGAATGTTCTGGATGAAACAGCATTCTATATTCCTCCTAATATTTGGCAGATTTTAATAGAAGTTCAGCAAATAAATAAGCCACGTTTTCAACACAAGAAAATCTTAGTCTTGTTCTCATTAGTTTTTCTTTCATTTCCATTGTGTTTTCTCTGTCCCATTCCTGTGTTTTGCCCAATTAATGTTTTTCCTGATTTTTTGGGTACTTTTTCATGTCATCTGTGTTCCTCTTTTTTTATTTTTAACTTATTCTGTCTCTTTTCTCTCTCGTTTTTAAAATATATTTTAGAAATAATTTTAATGTGATTATGCATCAGTTTTTAATCTACTCTAGTACTGTCATTTCTTTTCATGGATTTCTGGAATTTAGAAATCAATTTTATTAAGATTTTTAATTGGTTGACAGAAACCGCTTTTAGCTATTGATAGAATTATTACATTCTCCTCTTAAAACGTGTCTATGGATTGACCCTAGCACCTTGACCATGTTGAGTGGGAGCTTTGACACAGATATACCTGATAGATTCTGCCAGCCAGAGGGTTAAGCTATCTCTAACATGACATCCGTCCAACTTGGCACCAGGCCACAAGAAACAACTTATCTCTCCAACAGTAACTTCTGTGTTCTTTCTCTAGTTCCAGAGATAAACCTTCCACTTCCTTTATGCACATGTGCCAAGCCTCTCTAATCCCAAGATTCCACAACCCCACTCAAGTGCTCCACCCCTGCCCAATTCCATAAAGGCCATTCCCTAGCTCCCCATTTTTGAGTGTCCTTAAAGTCTCTTGCAGCCATCCCATGCCTGCAATAAAAGCTTTTTCTTATCTCTGTCTTTGTTGCTCAACTGCGCCAAAACACCTAACAATACCCACAAGGGACAGGACATTATAGGGAAAGATGCTTACTACAGGATCCTCACATTATATATAAGTGATATCCTTCCCAAGAGATGTGCAAATCTCAACTTAAAAGACAGTAAGACAATAAAACATCATCAAAAGACCATGACACCCTAATAACAATTCATAAATAATATAAGTATAGGAAATATCAAAGAGTTAAAGAAAGCTTGATTGCTACAATGACCAATGAATTCAAAGATAAAAATAAACAGCTATATGAATTAATTCAGACAATGCAAAGTAGCAGAGTTGAAAATCAACATAAAAAGATCAGTACCTTTTCTATACACCAGCAATGGAACTCACCAAGAAAAGGAAACAATTTCAGTCTCCACAGCAAAACCTACCACCTCCAAAAAAACTTAAATTATGAATCAACCTAAATAAGGAGGGAAAAGAGTTAAATGAAAATTATGGACTACTGAAGAAAGAAACTGAAGATGAAAAAGGCAGATGGAAAGATTTCCCATACACATGGATTAGCAAAATTAGTAATTTTTAAATAGGATTTTTACCAAAAGTGACCTAAAGACTTAATATATCCCTTTTCTAAAAAAGCAATTATGTTCTTCAAAGCACTAAAGAAAACAATCACAAAATTCACATGTACAACAGCCACAATAGTCAAAACAAACCTAAAAAAAAAAAGAGCACTGCTAAAAAGAATAGCACAGTATCTAATATAAATGTATACTTTATAGCCAGAGTAATAAGATCATCACTTTACTGGCATAAAAACAGACACATAGACCAATAGAGTAAAACAGATGACAGAGAAAAACAGCACTCAACTACAGCCACTTTAATTTTGACAAAGGATCCAACAATGTGGATTGGAGAAAAGATAACTTAATAAATGCTGAGAAAAACATATCCGTGTTTAGAAAACTGGATCCCAATTTCTCCCCACAGAAGAATCAAATCAAAACAGATAAAAAACCTGAAAATTTGAAACTGCTAGAAGAAAACATACAGCAAGGGCTTTGTGACTGGGACTCTAATCACATAAGAAATAACAGAAAGAATTTTAAGGAGGACTACATCAAAAGCTTTAAAAGCTTCTAAAAAGCAAAGGAAACAACAGAGTGGAGAGACAATCTACATAATGGAAGAAAATATTTGCTAACTATTCTTCTGATAGATGAATACACAGTATAAAGAACGTTTTTAGAAATAACAAAAAAATTTCCTAATCAATAAATAGGCAAATAAACTGAACAGACACTTTTCAAAATACAAATGGGAAATAAGTATTAAAAACAAGAAAAGTTTGACTCATCAGGAAAAGGCATATTCAGATTTTATCTAATTCTATTTACATTGGCTATCAAAAAATATAATAAATGTGGTAAGGATTTTAGGAAAAAGGAAATTTTATATACGGTTGATGGGAATGCAAATTACTACAATCACTATGCAAAACGCTAGGGATGTTCCTCAAAAAACTAAAACCTGAACAACAATCTGATGCAGTTATATAACATCTCGGTATTTTCCCAAAAGAATTAAAATCAATTTATTGTAGAAACCTGCATACTTATGTTTAAAAGAGCACAATTCTTAGCAGCTACACCATGGAAACAGTTCCTTATCAACTGATGAATGCATGAAGAAAATGACACATATGTACACGAGGGAGAATTGTTTAGTCATAAAGAATGAAATCATGACATTTGCAAAAAAACTGATGAAGATTACATAAAAACTAGACACAAAGAAAGTCTTATTTTCTCTCATATGTGTAATCTTTAAAAAAATATAACATGAAAGTATACGGGAAGAGAAAATATGGGGGAGGAGATTATAGGGCAAGCTGGGTAAATGGCTAAATTATAAAAGTATTTTATATACACAATGAATATGCCAGATGAAATTCACTATTCTGTGTGAACATGCACAAATAATAAAAAAAATTAACATTAACTCAACATAAAGACCTGAACTGAGTACACACCTGGGTGGTCTAGAACAGCACATGCACAAAAGATTAAGAAACAATAACCATAAATTTTGTTATAATATTTGTGGAGTAAGGATGGTAATAAGTTATTGAAAAACAAGGCAAAATAATGATTTTTTAGAAAAACATTATGAATCTGTAACATGAAAAAAGCAATACAGGTCTACTGTCACTTCAGGGTGCA